TGGATGGATGGATGAATTGGTATGTGGATGGATGGAAGGAAGGATGGGTGGACAGATGGGTAACTAGACAGATGAGAGCTTAGTGGGTGGACAGTAAATTACCTCTTATGCAGAGTGTGTTGGGGTTGAACCAGCAGCTGGCGTCATGGGCTGGAGGGTTCCCTCCAGGAAAGTGTATAGCCTTTCCCAGGGGCTGCACCTGCCACGTGCCTGTATCCAGAATGTGGGTGGGAGCCAACTGGCTTCCCTCACCATCTGTGTCCAGGATGACATATTGGGCTAGCCTTCTGCCTCTGCCATCCATCCGGATCCTCTGGCTAAAGCCAGCCACATCAAGAGCTCTTGTGTGGTCCCCTAAGCGAGCTCCCAAGAGCCCTGCTCCATGGGTCTCAGAGCGGTTCAGGGCATGGGCCAGCAGGACGACAGCATCGTAGATAGTTCCAAAGAGTGGGGACACCTGTGGAAGAGAAGGCCCTCCATCCTGTCATTGCATCCTGTCACCCTAGACTTCGCAGCGGCCTGCAGGACTGTTTAGACTGCTGTCCTCTTCCCCAACAGTCCACTCTTGGGGCACACATTACCCCAGCCCCACTGAGCGGCCTCACCGCCCCCATGATTGCCGCCACTACTGTTCCGCCTCTAACTCAGATGTATCGTAGGCATCTCAAACCTTCCAAAAGCAAAAGTCTGGGTTCTAGCAGGTTCTACCTCATTGCTCTTTGTTCAGGTCCTTGTCTGAATGCTTCCCGGTCCCTCAGAGCTCCACGCAGGAGTCACCTCCTCACGGAGGCCTTCTTAGATCCATCCTGTCTCCATTGTCCATTCCTCTATTCCAACCTGGCTCCATCCCTTGATCCTTGTCTGCTTTCTTGGCAGAACCATCACTGTTTGAGTCTGTTTGTCTCCTTTCTTGGTTATTGTTTGTGTTCCTCAGCAGGATGAAACCTGCCTTTTTTATCACCAGGTCCCTGACACTGACTGGTGGCACACGAGAGACTCAATTCCCATCTCTAAAAGATGAATGGCCGTCACCTGCACCTGCATCCCTGTCACCACCTCAAGCCACTGCTCTTTTTCTTCATTACGAAGCAGGCATTGGAGTTCAGCTGAGTCCCTCAAGCCAAACCCACGCCAGCAGCCACATCCCGCCACTAGCACTTTTCAGATTCACAGTGGCGACCTCGAAAAATCCTCTCCCAACACCTTCTTCCTTTAGTCTCCACAGCTCACTAGAGAGGTTTGAGTCAGGAGAAGTGGAGTGTCACCAGAGAAAGAGCAGATGGAAATTAAAATTATGGGGACTGAGTACACTGTCACTGGAAGTCACAACATAGCAGAAGGGAAGAATGGAGAGACAGAGATAGATTAGATAGATGGATAGATGGATGGATAGATAGATAGATAGATAGATAGATAGATAGATAGATAGATAGATAGATAGATAGATAGATAGATAGATAGATGGCACAAGCCAATACCTATGGGCTAGGGAGACAGACACAGGTCATGTGGCCACAGTGAGGTGGGGCTGGCTAGCCTAGTGGGTCCCTAGTCCAGGCTAGGAAGGCCTGTGACTGGTGAAGTGTGCACATATACTGGCTCAGGGGCCCACCTTCCAGGCTGAAGAGAACCTGAAGCACCCACCTGCTCTGGCTCCAGGTGGGAAGTAGCCCCTCCACTCATCTTGGTAGCAGTGAAGGTGTGGTTCTCAGGACCAGAGTCCAGGCTGACAGTGAGTACTGCATCGTAGGCCTCCTGAAAGGGCCCATGGTCATCCAGGGCCGGGTAGGAGCGGTTGCGGTAGGGCAGAGCAAAGAGCAGCGTGTCGTAGGGCAGGAAGACCAGGCTCCCGTCTGTCAGGCCCTCCTTCCAAGCACAGCGCAGCAGAGTGCTCTGCTCCAGACCCCCCAGCAGTGCCGAGTGCATGCACAGCACCACAACTGGGGGTGAACATGCCAGGGTCACCTTGGCACTTCAGCCCTTGCCAGAAACCCAAATCCTAACGCCCTCAGAGCTCCTAAAATCTGTGGTCACACTGCTAACCCCAGCCCCTAAGCATCCTGGGTACGAGTGAGATTTGACCTCAGTCTGACCCCATAGCCATTATGGCTGAGGCCACCAATTATAGGTAAAAAAAAAAAAAAAAATCCTCTTGATGGCGGATACCTTTGTATTAAGGTGACCCTTCCGACCCTCCACCCCAGCATGCCACACAGCACCTGCTTCTCATCCACCCCACCCCTCAGGCCCTGATAATTAATGGCTGATATGTATCAACAGCTTTCTATGGCCGTCCCCATGTGCCCTT